AATTGAGTGATCAGCTGAGAAAACAAGTGAGACACATCCTATTCACCCCATTTTCAGATTAATTCACTCCATTTCATCATCTCTTCCATTCTCTCTCTAATTCATCTTGTTCTTTATTTTCTCCACCTTCTCTCTACTGTCTTCATTTTTCCAGTACCCATAACTCCACATTCAATCATCAAACCTCCACAAAACCATCACCATTCCATTCCTCTCATTTGGATGAACCTATCCCTACCACTTGCAAGGACATTTGAAGTTTGATTCCACCATTTTCATAGAACTCTACTTGGTTATTTCTAGTTCTTGAAGAAGCAAGGTGTTCTTGATGTTTTCTAGCTAAATTCTCCATGAAATCCTAGGAAAGAGTTGATGGAAGAGGGACATTGAAGTCTTCACTTGGCTAAGCTCAACTATTTCTTTATCTTGTTTCAATTTCACTAGAATACTATAACTATGATTGATTGTAGTTCAATTTGACTTTGGTTTCATGGTTGGTTTAATTGTTAGTGTTGAAACAAGATTATTGACTTGAATTTCACTTCCTTTTGTTGCTGGAAATTTCTACCACTTAGTGATTTTGCATTGTAAAATATGATTTCATTTGGTAAATGTCTTGTATTAGCCTAGCATATAATTGTGTGGTGAATGCTTGATGAGTTGCTTGATTTTTTATAATATTGAGCTTAGTTATAGCTTTGGGCAGTAGTAATTGAGAATGAATTTTAACTAAACACTTGGTTAATTATTGAGCTAAGCTAGTGACGTTACCTAAGGGACATGTAATAGTACTTAGAAAATTGAATTAATGAATCTAGGTTACTTGAGATAGTTGTCTTAGGTAAACACTTTTTCAACCAAGGAAGAGGAGTTGAGTGAGTTGCCATAATTAATTAGAGGTTAGGAATCTTTCATTAACAACACCTTGGGGTTTCTACTAAGAAAAAGGGAAGTTCAATCCATTCATTTAGTTAGCATTTTATTTTCATTCATTTAGTTAGCATTTTATTTTCTAGTCAATTATGTAACTAGTTTAGTAATTAGGTAATCAACTTCAACTTTGGGTGATTTATTCTACTAGATAACTTTAATTAGACTTAAAATCATTTCTTGGGAGATGACCTAGGGTTGATCTTATATTAAATTAGAGTTAGTTTTAGTTTTAATTTTGAGGATAAGTGACTAATTCCTATCATGAAGCAATTTGAAGTATCAGTGCTTCATAGAAGATAGGTGATAATTTGGGTAATGTCAAGTGGACATTACTGTGGTGTTACAAGTCACATTGTAGCACGACGTGACATGCCACAATGGATGTGTCTAAAAGTTGTAAAATGGTATTTGTGAACCCTTTTTTCTATTGTTTTCAATCCGAAGGGTATCCCATGCTCTATATGTTTCTAAACTCTAATTTATATATGTTTGGGCCTTGAAATGTGTTAACATAGGTTTTTAACTTGAGATCCCAAATATTTTGAAAGACAATACTTTATCAACTATGGATTTCAATTTTTTCTAGGATACTTGTGTTTATTAATTGGTTTTAATCATTTCTACCATGGTAAACTCTATTCTATCATGATAGGATACATGTAAATCTATAAATATAATTCATTGAATTATTTTTTGTATGTCCTATTCTGTTAACCATAATAGACCTTCAACCATAATCTTTTCCTTTTCTAATATGGTTAGCTCTTTTCATTGCAATTAAATTCTTTTTACCATGGTAAGGTGATTAGGGTAAAAGTCCTCTAAGTACCATGGTAATATTTGGTTATATGGCTAAGACAAAGGAGTAAACTAGATGATATTACATTACCACCCCTATAAGTATAGTTTGGATTTTTGAGGGAGCTTCCCATAGTTGCAAGCTTCAATCTATAATTAATTATTAACAAATACATTAATGACTAATCACTGTTAACTAACCTAAGGCCTTAATCTCTCATTAAGTGTGATTAACTAAAATCAACCCCATTGCTCACTTCTGTTAACTTATGTAACCTTTCTTAAACTTAGTAATCAATGTTGACTTACTTCATTAGCTTAATCTAGTTTGATTAGTGTTAGCTCTTTGTCATTTGATCCAATAGCATTTCATTAGATAGGAACAAATTTGATAAATACTGATAACTCTCAGATAGAGTATTAAAACAGAAAAATCCATTAGATAATGAACTATTGGTTTTGCGCCATCTCTAGCAATGAATCAACAATTTGAAATACTTTTCTTGTGTATTCTTGATAAACTAATGTTTAGACATAGATGTAGAAGGATCTGTTTGGGAAGTAAGAAGCCCCCTTGACATCTCTTCATCTGCAAATAATTCTCGATAGGAAAACACAAAGACAAGAGGTTGATTTTTGAATAAGAAAAAGAGTGGACCCACAGGATCCCAAATGAGTTGGCTAAAACCCAATATTAGTACTTATGATTATTGTTGTTAGCTTAAACCCAATATTAGAAGTGTAGATAATCATCATAAGACTCTATGGAAGTCATATGAATCACTAGAACTTAGCTACAATTCGGAGATAAGTTCTCCATCCTACAAAACTCAAGAAAAACTCATGGAAAAAAAAGGAAAAGAGAAGAGGAAGCTTACCCAAGGATTTAACAACCCTAAAAAGCCTCTAAATGTCCTTTATGATAAACCCTAATAGAGATCTTTGAGTTCTCTTCTCATTTTCTCTCAACTCCTACTTCTATTTTTTTGTCCAAGATGCAAAACTTGGATTTTAAAATTTATTGTGTCTGCCATGGTGCATTGCACCTTTCGCTGTGGTGAATGACTCAGTCTGAAAATTCTAACTTAAATCCTTTACTTTGGGCCTAAAGTGGCCAAATTGCTCTTTTAGTTCCCTTCTAAGCCCCATACAGGGTCCAATTGACCCAAATAGCCATCCTAACTTTCAAATTAGCTTCCAATTACCTTAATTAGTTAATTAAACTCATCAATTAAACCTTTTGTTAATGATAAAGGCCAGCCTATATCATTTGCAAAAGTTAGCAAAAAATGAATTTAAGATCCAAATGCTCATAGATCTATAATTTAAGAGTAAATTAATTCCTTGATTCTACTTGATACAGTTATATATTTATATTATTTTTATATTATTTTTTCAGTATTGATTGTTTTTATATTTTTGTTATTTTTTTGGCGAGGCACCCAGAGTAAATGACAGTGTATATCCCATTTATATTAATATGCAAAGATGCATCCATGTGAGGGTGTTCACAAATTCAAATTTGAAAAACTAAGTGAACAAATCAAATTAAAGTAAATCAATTGATTTATCAAAACTTAATACATGTTTAGTTTTTTTTTTTGGCTCTTACTGATTTGGTTTAAATTTGAATTAATTTTAAATTTTTTGTGAGATATTTTTCAAAATCAACATATGTGTACACACGTATTGTTGATAATTTTTAACTATTAATTATTATTTTTAATAAAAAATCTCTTGAGAATAAAAGAATAGTTTTTAACAATTATTGTCATATTTAACTATTAAAAATTAATATTTTATATTTAAAATACTTGATTATAAAATTAAAAATTATTATAAATAATTATAAAAAACATTTAGTTAATTCTAACGGTAACAGTCATTTGCAAATAACTAAACCAGAGAAGGAGAGAGAAATTTAGGTTTTTTTTTTTTGCCAACGAAATTTAGGTAAATTTATTGAAATATATAAAAAATATAATAAAATTTGGTACAGTTTTAAGAGCCACGGCAAACTAATTAGTTTTGTCAAAATAAAAACTAAACAAAGCTTCATTTATAATCACGTCATTTACACGTCGGCTTAGTTCGGTCATCCTTGCACCCCACGTATACTCTAGTTCGGGCATTTATTATTTGTTTCATATTATTTTTAATTAAATTTATTAAATGAAGGATAATAGTAGGTTTTCAAACTTGGTGGGACCCGCTTCTAGATCTAAAACAAAAACGTAAAGTGAAGACAGGCCCACACAGATAGCTCCATACGGACCAGACCCATCCAATGGACCCCATCATCCACGCAAGTGGTGTCATGGCGGCTCCCAAGAACCTTCTCCCTCTCTCACTCTTTCTTCAGCTCACCCCCTCCACCATTTATAGCAGATGGGCCCCATTGGCCCCACCGCTTCGTGCCCTCCGTCCACTACCTTTCTCTTTCTCTTTCTCTCCTCCTACCCCACATCTTTCGGACTTGGCTGGCCTCCGCAGCTCTGTAGCATTTGGTAAAAAATCTGGACCGTCCAAATTTTATCTAAAAAGTTCATATTTCACCTGGCCCATTCAGAAAAGTTTGAAAGGTTTATATTTATAAAAACCTTTAATAAATGAAAAAAATTCATAAATTTAGCTCCCAACGCTTTGATAAAGTTTTGTTATAAATTTTTATATTTTTTTAATATTTTAAATTTTTATATTTTTATTTTTGGTATTAAACATATCTAAAATTATATTTTTTTTAAATATAATCATTAGTTTGAATAGTTCAAATTTAATATAAATAATTTAAATTTATAAAAAAATTTAATAAAATATGATCATCTGGATGGCTTTAGTTTTAATATGAATAGTTTAAATTAAATATTAAAAACTTATAAAAATTATAAAACATTAATATTAAATCTGCAATGTTCAAAATATATCTAAATAATTAATTTATAAACATTAAAAAATTTAATATTAAATTTTAGCTATGTATATTAAATATGGTAATCGATTTATTAAAAGCTTTTTATAATTTTGTTATTTTTAAAAAATATATATATATATATATAATTTAAAACATTAAATTTAGAGTGTTTACTTAAAATCTGAACGGTTTAAATTTTCTCCTAAGCTGCGGAGGTGCAGTGGGGGAGGCAAGCCCATTCCACCTCTTTCTGTTTCATTCGTCATCAGCATCTCATAATAAACAGTACTATTGGATGTTTGGTTGATTGCTTTTGATTTGCTTGCCCTGTAATTTTGTCTGTGTCAAATCAATATTAGTTATCAGTTTCATACGAGCATAATATTATAACCAACCAAACGACAAAGTTGCATTTGGAGAATCACTATTCGTTCACACTTCAAAGTTCAAACATGCATGCATACTAATATCAAGACTTTTAATTTAATCACTTTCACTTATATTGTTTTAATTAACACGACGGCCTCTTCTTCTTCTCCATTGACTTGCCTCTTCCTCATTGTTTCGAAGCTTCCTCCGGTTGATCCTCTGATCGCCGCCCCATCAACTGCAACTCTTGCTTGTCAAAAATCTCCAAAGAAAAATCCCTCAACATCCGAGCTCTGCTTCCGCTAACACTCCCACTTGAGCTCACGCTTGGCGCCATAGTTGAACTCCTCGCTACCTTTGGCCCCGCCGTGTTAGACTTGCTGCCGGAAACTTCTACGCCGGTTGGAATACTTGACGTTGCTTCCATGGGTCCTGCCGGCATGTTGAATGCCGGGGTCACTGCTGGGGAAAAAGCCCATATCTGAGGTTGCTGGTTGGACGATCCAGTGACTCCGGCTGACAACTGCGTCGCTGCCGCCGGAGGGATCATCCAAAAGGCGTTAGCAGGAACCACCATACCTGTGCTTCCCACTGGCCAGACCGGCACTAGACCTTGTGGAACCACGGGTTGAATCGGCGCCAACCCGTAAGACTGCAAAACGGCGTCGTTCATATCTACGAACTCGCTATTTGATGGTCGTCTCCACTTCTTGGAGGTTTCGTCATTGGAATTATTGGACGTTGTGGGAATTTTAAGAGTTCCGCCGACGGAGACAGCGATGGCCGGGACGGTGCCGGTGCCGGTGGCCTCGACGATGGCCCGCTCGGCGTGTTCCAGAAGCCAACGCACAGTTTCGCCGTCAGACTTGTGGCCTAACTCCCGAGTGAGCTGAAAGATCCGAGCAGCACACGTGGCTGGTATTCGGATCCTCCGTCCCCGACCTTCCACCTTTGTGTGGCGGTCCTTCGTCGATGACCGTCGAGTTGTCTTCGCCGGCAAGTGCATTGGCATATGCAAATGCATCGCCACCTGACCAGCCTCAACTCGAGGAGCCTCACTCTTTCGGTCCAAGTCCGAATCATTTGGCTCGTCCTTCAACGGCAACACTTGAAACGCCGTCGTACTACTCGTACCCTCGTTAGTGGTTGCAGGGTCTCGTTCTGGCTCACCGGCCATGTTGCTGAGCTCCGACGTTCCTCCATCTTCGTCTTGATCCTTCTCATGCTCCTTATACGACGCCATTTCAGAAATAGTACACACAATGGAGGAGACCAGCGAAAATATACCTCAAAAGCACAGAATATTCAGCAAAGTTTGTAAATTTTTTCTAGGGGTTAAGTTTTAGTGTGGTGGGCTTCACTGAATTGCCGGGAACAGAGAAGAGGAAAGTGCCATATAACAGAAGGAGGAAGGGAGGCGTTTACCCAACCAGCAAAGGGAGATTATGATTGGCACAATAATGCTCATTTTAGTGAGAAACGTGGGAGAATCGGACGGTGATGATTTGACTGGATGAGGTAGGGGAGATGATTGTGGGGCCACTTGTGGGGTCCAACTTTGGTGACCTTCCCCATTTGTCACTTTTATCCCAAATGGCGGGGACCACTTGGTGGGGTGGGGGGACAGGCGGTCTCCATTTTCCACCGTCATTGCCAGAGGGTGATGTCAGAGGGACCTGAAAAGGTTGGGCCTTTCTGCCTTAATAAATCGGTTTTCATTGGTAAGCACCACCAATTTATGGTGGTCCATGCGCCATCAGAAACTAAAAAGTTCAAATTCAAACTTTCGCTTCTTTACCATTCGTTCTGCGTCCCAAGTAAAAAGGTACAAATTCGTGATTAGTTATTAGATTTATTTTAACTTCAACTCATTCTTAATCTACATCCTGCTGATGAAAGCTTGGCAAGATGCTGACCGAGACAAAAAGTATTAGAAAAGTACAATTCTTGTAGAATGAAACTGATTTCATAGTTATATATACTGGAAAAAAAAGAATAATAGGTCATGTTTTTTAACTATACTTTATTTTTAATTTTTATAATTTTATTTTTTTGTTTCTGATCTTTTTAATTTGATTTGTCTACAATGTTAGTGCTTCTAGAATTAAAAAATACATATAAGAACCACAAGCTAACAGTGACGAAGTTAATTTTATTGATATGTACTTAACTTTGTTAATCCCTTTGTTAGCATGTACTTAATATTGCATTCCATGTCTCGCATTCTGTTTAAGCCAAATATTAAAAAAAAATTCCCAAGTTATTTATAGTTTCTAATCATATGGTCAAATTATTTTCATGTCATCAATATATTTTTACCATATTATTAGCAAATGAGTTAGCAGAGTTATAGTAAAATTATACCTATCACTGTCAACTTGCTATCGTTATATGTATTTTTAAAATTATAGAGATTAATGTTGCAAACTGATCAAATTAAAAGGATTGAAAACAATGAAATAAGATTATAAAAATTAAAAATAAAATGCGAACAAAATATAAGAACCTATTATTATATTTTTCCCATATATATAAGCTAAAGAGGCCACAATATTCATAAAGTCAGGACTTCCTTCAGTTGTATGGAGTCTAAGATCTTAGCTCACAACAAAAGATGACTGTCATAATGTAATGAGCAACTTTACTTGTAACTAGAGCTGTGTAAAAGTCTCGCAGTCTGGTTCGGTCCGGTCCGACCCATGAAAACCTGATCTTATCCAGTCCTATAAAATGCTGGTCCTATAGGACCAAAAAGACCAAAAAGACAGGAATGATTTTTCGAGTAATACCAGACTAGAGACCAAGCATCTAGACTAAGTGGTCCGGTCTGGTCCTACATAATTATTTTAATATAATTAAAATTAATTGACAAATTATTAATTAATAAGTCTTAAAAAAATAGTCTTTAGTCAGGTTCAACCGTCCAGCCTTGCACTCCACACTCTGATCTGACCGAAAAAAATCCTGAACACTACAGCACACTCAATCTTAGCATCAGCCACACAGATCTTAGTGCTCAGACCCTGCTCAACTCTCAACTCTCAACCACTCACGTGTGACTCGACCCTACTCTAGTGCACCGAAGCCTATCGGCCACCACCATCATTCACATCGGTGACGTTGCACCATTGCCCGCCCTTGCTCTCCACCTTTATTCCTCCTTGCTCTCCTCCAGTGAGCCACACAGATCTCAGTGCTCAGACCAGTCAATGGCCTCCACCCTCTGCCTCTATGCCTCAACACAACTGCAACTGTAACTCGATCCAGATCTCATCCTCCACCTTCACGCCTTGACGCGATGCGACTAGAAGAAGGAAGATACTTGCTTTGCCTCAGATTTCCATTTCCATTCTCAACTTCGCCTTAACCAGATCTGGTGCTGCCTTCATCGTTCTCCTCATCGTCCTTACTTTTCAGATCTGGTGCGTTTTAGCGGTTTCAATTTTCACCATCAGAAATTCAATTTCTTTTTTATTTTTTGTTTTATATCTTCCTTTTAATTTGCATTTGCAATGATCTGAGTTGCTAATTACTTATTTGCTTTATGTTCATTGATTTCACAGCGTCACGCACCATAAAGCAATAATGCATATCTGGTGCTTTTATTTGAGTAATTTCTTTTGCAATGATCTAAGTAATGATCTTCATTGTGAAGTGATGGATATTAAGCAAACATCCAGCATTGATCAACCTTAATCATCTCCTTTTACTAGTGAAAATGTGAGTTCAACTCCTTCTGGACCATCCTTGACACCTACTCCTCCTCCTTCTCAACCCCCAACTATTATGGAATGTCCTCCTCCTCTTACAACTATAACTGAAAATGAAGCTATAGAAGGTAGTAGAAAGAGGAAAAATTCTGCAAGAAAGGTATCAAAAGTGTAGGAACACTTTACCAAGTTACCATTGGAGGAGACAAATGGAGAAGTTAGGGCTGCATGCAAGTACTATAATTTAGATTATGCTTGTGATCCAGGAAAGCATGGTTTAACATTCTTGAAGAGACATGTACCAAAGTGTCCCAAGAATCCACATAAAGCTACACAAATGACAAAGCAATTTATGTTGAATTATGTTACACCGAGTGGGCAAGAGGGAAGCTTAGTATCTCTCATGTTCAATAAAAAATGATGTCGCAAGGCTCTAGTTGAGTTCATCATATGTGATGAGATGCCATTTAGGCTTGTTGAGAAGGAAGGCTTTAAAAAGTTTATGAAGGAGTTAGAACCACGATTTCAAATCCCTTCAAGAACAACAGTGGCTAGAGATGCCTAGCAATTGTATCTTGGTGAAATTAGAATATTGAAAAATTTGTTGAAGAAGTGTACTAATCATCTTTGTCTCACTACAGATTGCTGGACATCAGTTTAAAACTTCAATTATTTATGTTTGACAGCCCATTTCATTGATAATGATTGGAACTTGCATAAGAGGATTCTCAATTTTTGCATGGTTGAGAATCATAAGGGTGATACGATAGGCAAGACAATTGAAAGGTGCTTATCAGACTGGGGCATACAAAATGTGTTTACCATAACCATGAATAATGCAACTTCCAATGACACAGCATTGTCCTAATTAAAAAGGCATCTAAAGAATTGGAGGGGTCTTGTTTGTGGTGGTGATTATCTTCAACTATGATGCTCTGCACATATTCTTAACCTAGTTGTTAATGACAGTTTGAAGGAGTTGAAAGATACTTTTAAGTCCATTCGAAATGCTATTAGATATGTTCGTTCATCTCCTGCTCGCTTACAAAGATTTAAAGATGTTTGTGAATTAGAAATGTTAGACACAAAAAGCATTGTTTGCCTAGATGTAAGTACTAGGTGGAATTCTACATATTTAATGTTGGATGTGGCTTTGAAGTTTCAAAAGGCATTTGAAAGATTAGAGGATGAGGATGAAGATTTTGTTAGCTACTTCAACAAAGGTTCAAAGCGTCATACTCAGAGTGACGTTTCTTGTTTAGATGGTAGCATGGATGCCTATATTTATAGGCAAAGTGCTAGACCCAATGACAGCATTGATGTTTTCGCTTACTCTAGGCAAGCTTCTCCTAAGCGTAATGGCCCTCCAAACAAACAAGCTTGGAATAAAGCACGGTTCTTCCTTAAGTTCTTGAAGGTGTTTTATGATGTCACTTTGCAATTTTTTAGCACATTGAAAGTTACTGCATATACATGCTTCCATCAAATTTCTTTAATTCAAGAGTTGTTAGACGAGAATATTGAAAGTGATGACCCTTTTCTTAGGGAGATGTCTTTAAGCATGAAGAGTAAGTATGATAAGTATTAGGGGGCAGCAGATAATTTGAACCCTTTGTTGATTATTGCTTTGATTCTTGATCTTCGATACAAGCTTGCCTAAATCAATCATGTATTTGATCAGCTTTTTCCTACTCTTGACCTTTGCATGTCCATGAAGAACAAGGCAAGAGACACTTTATATCATTTGTTTGAGGAATACTCTACGACAGTTGGTCCTGATACAAGTAGTTCTGGTAGTGTCAACTCTCCAAGTGCTCTTGACACCAACACTTTAAATGCAAGTAAAGGTAAACAAGACCCTAGTCGTAGATGGTTAGCATCCCAGATGTAAAAAAGCTCATCAGTTGATACCCAATCAGAGTTAGATAGATACCTTTCTGCTAGTACGTTTGAGAACACCACTATTGATGATGATAATGATGATTTTGATATCTTGACATGGTGGAAAGTTAATTCTACCAAGTATAGAGTGCTTTCCTTGATAGTACAAGATGTATTGGCTATACCAATATCTACAGTTGCTTCTGAATCAGCTTTTAGCACTGGAGGACGTGTTGTTGATGATTATAGGAGTTCTTTATCTCCTAAGATGATTGAAGCACTCATTTGTGCCCAGAATTGGCTACTTGCAGGGCAATCTCTCTCAGAGTTTGTCTCTATGTTTCATGAGGTTAACATTTTTCAAGAGACTGACGATGTGGTTAATGTTACAAGTAATATATTTAATTTTATGTCTCTTAATTTAATTTATATATTGTATTTTTACACTTACTAATCACTTTATATATGTGTATATAATTTTTTTTACAGATGCTTCAAGTGTTATTTATGCTAAGGAGATAATTATTTGAAGATTTGTTGAATTTGTTTCTATTGAAGCTAAGGAGATAATTACTTGACAAATGTAATATAGTGTTGAACTTTGTTGAGTGTTTTTGTTGAAATTATATATTTAAATTATTTAGAGTTTAGACTATAACTGAAATATTATTTTTTTGATGTTAGAAATCATTGTGAATTTATTATAATTATAAGTGTTTTTATTATCTTAATTGAGTTGAAATGCATTATTGCTTATCATAGAGAGAAAAAAAAAGGCCAAGTGAGTATTAGACTAACAGGACCAGTCTCCCAATTTTATAGACTAAGTCCGGTCCTATTAATCTTTGGGTTTT